CAGTCAGAATGTTCATCATGAAGAAAGCAAGCATAAACAATGCCCAGGGAGATATTCAACACATCCATGTTTATTGCATGCTGCTCACTGTTACCAAATGGTGGAACCAGCTGAATTACTCAACAACCAGTGAATGGACAAAGGAAAAAAGATGATAAATAGCATACACATACATATGTGTATATATGGAATATATACACAGCCATGGAATATGGAATATTACTCAGCCATTAAAATGAAGTTATATCTTTGTCAAGTAAATGGATAGAATTGGAAATAATCATATTGAATGAGTTAAGCTATGATTTTTTTAAAAGTACATATCACATATTTTCCACTTGTGGAGTTTCAACCTAAAAGATACGCATTGAGGTTGGGCACTGGCAGCTCTCAGAACCTAGCTATTTAGGAAGCTGAGATCTGAGGATCCACAATTCAAAGCCAGCTTGAGCACGAAAATCTATGAGACTCTTATGTCCAATTGGGCACCAAAAAAAAAAGAAAGAAAGCTTTAAGTGGATCTGTGACTCAAGTGGTAGAACACTAGCCAGTAACAAAATAGTTCAGGACCAGCAAAAAAAAAGAAAAAGAAAGGGAGAGATGGAAGGAAGGAAGGAAAAAGAAGGAGTGAAGGAGGGAGGGAGAGAGAAAGAAACATAGAAGATAGATAGATAGATATTGGTAGTGTATATAATATTGCAGTAATGGGATTGTCTGGAAGAGAGAACAAATAATATGGGAATACTTTTGTCTCCATATGAAGATACTGTTAGGAAACTCACTGAAAACTGTTAAACATTACAGGGTAGGAATGGGGGAAGAGCAAAAGATGGGGTTAATCAGACTAAAATATGAAAATGTGTATAAAATATGACCGTGGAAACCCTTTATGCAATTAGCATACACTGATAATGACAGGAAAGTAAAACAGACTTCGTTGTAGGACAAGCATCAGAGGAGGAGGAAGAACAATGGAGAAGATGAATGAAGGTGAATTTTTGAAGGGCTTTTTATTTCCTGTATGAAAATAGAACAGTGATTGGCACAGGCCGAAATTTTCTTAATAGAGACCCAGAAACACAACAAATCAAAGAAAGGTTGGACAAATGGGATTGCATGAAATTGCAGAGCTTCTGCATGGCAAAGG